TGAAGTTCTTAGCAATGCATATTACTAATCAAAAATTAAGTTTTGATATATTTATGGTAGGAAATTTTTCAAAATATCTTCATGGAACATGATCTTTACTTAATATCCTAAAGATTTTTGGCATAAAAGAAAAATCGATAACTTTGACCCATACAATGTTTTTTTTTTCTTTTTGGCTATTGCTAAAAATATACCCAAGTGACTTAAGCCTGGTTTTGTGGTCCAGGGTCACATATAATAAATGGTGGTGGGCCGCCTGGACCAAAACATGTCAGGGCCGATTTTTTGTCCCAGTCCAGCCCTGGACACCTTCATCATTTACTGGTGAAAGACACTTCACAAAAATGTTTGGATTCTAATGGGTTTATTAGGAAAAAGCTCTTCATAATGAGAGGTGTGGCAGAATTTTCCAGCAGCATATTCATCAGATTTGACTTCCTACACAAATGTAACATTCACACCATCTGGAGTCTTTTAAGAAGGAAGTGTGTTAGGACTGTAAGCAACTACCCAGCACACTCTAGCATTCGTGATCTAGCATTTCCCAAACAAAAGCAATTTGTATGCCTTAGCAACCACATAGCAATGTCCTGGCAACCACTAACAAGGGTCCAGTTTCATGCAATGAGTTTAGCACAGACAAGCATGAATCTAGTTAGCATTCTAGCTGCTTAGAAACACGTCGCTCATCCTCTGAAGATTTAGTTGTTCAAACTGTGCCTCCATATGCTGAAAAGTGCTTTCATTATTCTAAAAAAAAAAAAAAAAGATGTGTTATGGAAAACATTAACATAACGTTTTTTTTTTTTTTGGCAGTTGGCAAACCCACTTAAGGTGCTGGGCTGCGTTTCTCAAAAGCATCGTAAGCTAGATTGATCGTAGAGATCATTGGAGGCGATGGGTCTACTATCTACGATGCTTTTGGGAAACGTAGTCTGGAGTGTGGAGCATGATGGATTTTAATGACAGATACAACTAGAGAGGGAAGAAAAAAGCTTTACAAAGTGAACTTAAATCCTGTTGCTTTCAGATCATTTATAATTGCATACTATATTTATACTGTGCCGAGGCATTCTTTAATATTGTCTTAAGTGTTACACGTTCAATGTTCAAAAGACTTAATTCTTCTATTAGCTAGATTCAGTCATTCAGTGTGCACGCGTTTGTGTATTTCTCTCAGTCGCCCTCTAGTGTGTAAAAGCAGGGTGGGCCCCTGATTCCCCCTAAAAATGTCCACAAAATGATTTTTTTTTAAAGTTATGGATATTTTAACCACATATCAAATGACAATGATTAACTCGTTTGTCTTGTTAAGGTTCATTTCATGGTGAGCATTAGATACACAGTATATCCAAAATACACTCAAGCAAATGAGTGCCTATCGATCTATCTATCTATCTATCTATCTATCTATCTATCTATCTATCTATCTGTCTTTTTTCTTACATTGTTGTGGTGAAAATGACATTACAATTGGGTGTTGTAATGTTTTGAATAATGTTATAAAGCATTTCTCGTAATAAATATTGACTGCTTTATGATAAATTTTATATTTGGCAATTGAATGTCTGGTATGAGGGTAAAACAATACAATCTACAAATAAATGTAGCAAAAACAAATGATGAAGGGCTGATGAAAAGATTCCAAGTCAGTTGTAATGTGTAAAGTTATTATTATGTGACCTCCATGTAACAAAAAAGAAAAACCCGAAATCTGCGTAAAAATCAAACCCAAAGTGCAGAGATTATGGGATGAAAAGTGAAACAGAGATCGAAAACCTGTTCAGTTCATGTATTATAATTGAGTGAATAGATTGGATCGAAAATAGCATTGATTCATTACACCTAATAAACCAGGTTATGATGTTTCTAACTCTGATGGTGTTGCATGAAGGCTCACGACAGCATCTGAAGTATCCAGTTTGCTCAAAAGAGGCAACCACTAGAGCATTGTTATATTATATTATATTATATTTTTAATTTATTAAATTTTTTCAGTTTTCTTTTTAATTTTAATTTCTGTTTTTGTAATTTTGTTATGTGATTTTGTCATTATCATTATTATTAATTCTGTTTAGCTTTTTAATTTCTGTTTATAATTAAAGTTGTTTGGTTTTGGTAATTTTAGTCATTTAACTTAAATTTATTTATTTAATTTTTTTGTTTAAGTTTTACTTAAAAAATATATTAAACATATACTAAAATATCTATATGATTATGTTATTTCAGCTTTATCTCAATTACAGAAAATGATTTTAATTGTAACCTAATGATTTTAGTTTTAGTTATCGATAATAACACTGCTAGACGGCTGGAGAAAAAGACAGCAGTAACATACATTGTTTAACAACAGTGAGAACTGTGTTGAAGACTCTTTCTATGTGGTCTTTTGTAGCTCATCATCGGGGTGGTAGGATTGCTGTATGGTGTGTTGTAGTTTCATGGTAGAGGAGCAGTTGTCATGTCCCCGCAGCGCCGGTAGTGGTGCTGTGAGTCCGCCGAGCACTGAACTCTAAACCCCCGCAGATCTGTTCAATGAGAGCAGAAGATAACATAATATTGAAAGTACATTAGTGATCGCTTTAACGGTTCACCACATCAACGGTGAATAGTATTCCGTAGCATAAGGAATTCCGATGAATATTCGGTGCAGTTGATGATCTGTGGCGTTTATACAGTCTGTCCGGAGTGAGACACCGTAGAGGCTGAACCCACTGCAGGTAAGCGGACTCGATTGCAGCCTCGGTGCAGTTGATGATCTGTGGCGTTTATACAGTCTGTCCGGAGTGAGACCCCGTAGAGGCTGAACCCACTGCAGGTAAGCGGACTCGATTGCAGCTCTACCCGACTCATGAGCGCTCTGACGCCGTCACCGCGCTACTCGAACACCGAGGCTTGGCAGCTAGTGTAGGCCAATGTTTACATTGATATAGAATGGATATTCCGCAACCAGTATCATGTTGCGGTCACTAATCCCGAATAGATTAAAGCTGCAATAATTTTTAACATTTTTAAAAGATTAATTTGCAAAGGCGTTTAAAAATTAAACTACTATTAATGCTTAATCGGCTGCAGCGCCCCGCTCTTTCGGCCTGATTTAACGGGCCGTATCCGCCGTTGTTTATAGCCACATTTACAGCGATTAATATGCACAAACTTAACGCATTTAATAAAATCTAATAATGTAATTCGCGCGTGCATGGGTTTATATTTCTATTTTTAGCATTTCAAATCTGAAAATAGTGCAGTATCACGTCAATGTTTCTGTTTCCTGGGTTTGTTTTTAGCATTGTAGCTAACGAGTGAAATATCAAAATAATGTGTGATTTTGACAGCCAGAAGCTCAGACTAAATTTTAAACCGATGATAATATAGATTTGCTTTAACTGGGGCACAAGTGCCCAAATACTGCCCGAATATAATGTTTTATGAGTGATTTAGCATATCGATTTGATGACAGCGATGTTTATTTAACAAAATTGAAAATGTGCTACAGCCCCAAACTCTGCAAGCAGCGCAGATTGAACGGATATGCCTTCTGCATTCGTCATGTTCTGGAGGACAAAACTGCTCCGTTTAAACAGTGCGAATATGTGGCCAAGTACAACAGTCAGCGATGCACCAACCCAATCCCCAAAGCAGAAGAACGAAGGTAAGATGAGAGGGATTCCAGCAGATTAGAGGCTTACAGAGGGTCAGTGTTTGTTGAGTGTTTAGGGTTGGGAATTAACAACCTGTGCTTTTTCATATTCATATTAAACATTATTGTGACACTGTGTTCAATTACACACGAGCAGCTCATGATCCGTTGTTTCAGCATCTTAGAGTGGCTCGATTCTCAGAAAATGAAGTGAACTCCATCTCTGCTATGGATACTCATTTCAGTTCATTTTCCCGACTGACAACCGCTGCTCGTTATTTTAAATAAATATTTTTAAAATAACTTTTAAACTGATTATTAATCGGTCAAAATTTTTACTTTCGGTTAACGGTTAAACGGTCAATATGAGCATCCCTTATCTCTGCACATGGTCTGAGTTTAACATGTTTGCATTTGGGAACGCAAAGTGCAGCAGTTATGCTTATTTTCACATAATTTCATAATTCGTATTTGTATGATTGCAATTAGGGCTGTCACTAACTGTCACTAATCGAGTAATCGGTCGATTATTCTGACGATTAATCGAGTGATCAGATCATTTAAGTGGTAATAAAAATAGACCTAAGCGAACAATAGATTTTAAAATAATTTAAAATACATATATAATAGCAATGAGGCAATAATAATTGGTTCAAATATAATATTAAAAGCAAGTAATCATAGGCTTTTATTGAACAAAAAGTTAAAATACATAATGTAATAAAACAATATAATCATAACTTATGTACATTATGTATTATATCAGATGGCGCCGACGGCCTGATGATTGTTTTTACATGTTACAGTGCGATCTAATCCTTTGTGTAATATTGACTAAACAACATTTAATTAAAAGGTCCACTTATTCTTTAATATTTGGCCACTTTATGAATGCTACAGCCACTGTCATTTCTTGAACAAGAACATGTAAACATGCAAACTCAGAGCGAGGGTTTAAACTTTTATTTTGAAGTCGCCATAAACAGTTGGCATATTTAAAAAGATAATGATGTTTTCGCCTGTGTTGGTGTAGATTTGTAAATGATTTACCTTATAAATCCGATAGAATGGTGCACATTGTTCCCAGATGAACATTATAAGCAACTCGTATGCAAAGATGGAGTTTGAGAGGGTCCGCGCATCAAGTAAATGCTAACTCTTTGTGTGGAGCAACCAGCAGCGCGCATATTTATTTAATTGAATCGCAGCCTTTGTTAATTCATAATAGCATTATGCTATATTATGATTTTTTAAATGGTTTTACTATTTCATGCAGCCTTAGAAAACAGTCTAATAATGCTTTTCATGGATTCTCATTTGTGGAATGCATCACTTCCGATATGTATTTTGGTTAATCAACACGGGCAAAATGCAATCGAGGATTTTTTATAATCGAGTACTCGAAGGCCTCCAGGTTTTCTGCAAAAATAAAAGTGAAGAAATTAATTTATTACTGTAACTTAAAATAGTGAATATACTTATTGTAAAAGATTCATTTCTTTTACACTACCTTTGTAATTATATAATTTCCCTCGCCCTGTTTCAGAGAAAAAAAACTTGATCAAAAGTGAATTAATTTAGAATTCAAATTGTATAATATTTTGGCAATTTTTCCCAGTTTTATCAAAAATGGTATAGAATATCAATATTTTTCAAGGTTTTGTATCGAAGTTAGAAATTCCAGTTTCATGACAAGTCTGATATACTTATTAAAGTAGTTACTAAGGTAATTACAATAACTGGGTAATAATTAGGTACTGACCCAGAACCTTAACAAATATGTAGGCTGTTGAGTCAAACCTTGTTCATTTGCTTTGGCAGATACTGTAACAGCCACCTACAGGTGCTTGGCTTCATCCCGAAGAAGGAGCGTAAGAAGAAGCAGGATGCTCTGGAGGAGGTTCGTGCCCGAGCTCACGTGGAGTCTGTCGCTCTGAACATCACCGTTCCCTCTCTGGCTCTGAGAGACTCTAACGGGCTGGACGGCCTCCCTCCATCCCCGCCCCGTCTGACACCAATGCCTCTCTCGGACTCCGACTTCCTCGACCCCTTTGCCTTCTACGATGAGGACACGGACGGAGAGGAAAGCGTGGCGCAGAAGTGCTCCAACAAGAGGAAGCTGCCCAGCAGGCCAGTGATTGGCTTGAGGGTGACCGCCTGGGACCCAGAGCACTGTCAGCCGGACATCGAGCACTTTAGCACCGTCACTGAACCCTGCACACTTCCAACCTCCCCACACCTACCACAACCACCTCCACCCCCACCTCCGCCTCCGCCTCTGCCTCAACCCTTGGCGAGGCTTGTCCAGACCCCTCAACATACAGATCGGCCCGTTTACGCCCAACATGGGGCAGTGCAGTCTCTGCTATGCAAGCCAGCTCCACCTCAGACTGGGCCTTCTGTTTTGTCTGGTCTGCTCCCATCAACTGGGGCTCAGAACCAGCCTGTTAGCCAGAGACCTGTCCCTGCTGCATCCCCTCACCCACCTGCTGCCCAGGACTGCCCACAGCCCCGCGCCGTGGCCATGCGCCCCACTACCTTTACAGCACCCCCTGTCTGCCTGCTCAGACTACAGCACCTTGTGCAGCTCTATGCTCAGAGACAGAGAGAACACGGAGACCTGTTCCCACATCTTGGTACGACCTCCTTATTGCATTAAAACAGTACTTTTCTACACAATACTAACTGAAAACTAGGGTTGGAAAGGGATGGAAAATTTCCGGCAAATTTCCAGAAACCTTTCAAAATTTTCAAAAAGTTTCCAAAAATTCTCATTAAATTTATCAAAAGTGAAAATAAAGATATTTATAATGTTACAAAAGAAATGTCTTTTTTAGCTAAAATGCTGTTCTTTTCAGCTTTCTATTCCTCTAAAAATCCTGAAAGAATCATGAGAAATCCACTAAAATATTAAATGTTTCTTGAGCAGCAAATCAGCATATTAGAATGATTTCTGAAGGATCATGTGACACTGGAGTAATGATGCTGAAAATTCAGCTTTGCATCACAGAAATAAATTTTAATTTTAAATTAAATACATTTTAAAATATACTAAAATACAAAACAGTTATTTTAAATTGTAGTAATATTTTACAATGGATGTAGCAATGTACAATGTCCTTGATATATGTAACCTTGATATTTGATCATATATGCATGCATGTTTGCATAGGGCTAGACTGGTCTGAGGACAGTACAGATGATGAAGATACAGAGGAGCTTGTTCCTTTAATGCCTCAGGCCTGGAGACTTCAAGAAAGAAGCTCCCATCAAAGGTATGAAAATCACTCCTCACTTGCTCCTCACAACTTCTGAGATACTAAATATATATGCCATTTGCAATAAAGTTCATGAGTATACTGATTTATTTTGTTTGTGTATGTCAGCTCCTCCAATGAAAAGCTGCTTTCCAGGCGGGCACGTCTGGTGCAGCTATGTACATACCTGCAAGAGAGGTATAAACACTTGTGCCGACAGGACAGGGCAGCCACCCGTCACAGCAGATACCGATATGCCTTCCGGAAAGCTCTGCTCCATGCTGCAAGCAAAGACCCCGACTGCACTGCACAGCTCATTCAGAAACTCAGCAAGAGCCCACAGACCTCAACCTGGTGTGTTGAACATGGACTGTGTTTGACATGTTTACAGGGAGTGTGTGCATTTCAGGGGTGTGTGTGTATTTATAATATGTTTGTATAAACTTTTTTTTTTTCAGTTCAAGGTCTGCAGTACCACACAAGTATGAAAGGACAATGTGTACAGGAACCACAAAGGGTCAAAGCTGCAGCAACATAGTTTTGCCATTTTCACGTCACTGTTTTCAACGTATCCTTTAACACATGCATGCTACAAGTAAAATGAACAGACATTAGTGGTGGCCTAGTGATGAAAGGATGAACAGTCGCCAAGTAACGCCTACGTGCATTTGTCAAATGTCAGTGTGTTATGTTCTTGACAGCATGTTGACGCAGATATCCTGTTGAATCGCTCTCAGCAGCTGTTCTCCAGTTGCACGGCACGGTTCGCTGATGGACAGCAGTGCTCTGTTCCTGTGTTTGACATTACTCACCAGACACCTCTTTGTGACGAACATGCCAAGAAAATGGTGAGAAACCACACAGCTTATCTTGATCATCTTAAATAGGATGTGTTTACACAGTACAGAGTTGGTTGTAAGTTGTACGTAAATGTGTGTGTGTGTGTGGCAGGATAATTTCCTGCGTGGGGATGGCAACAGACGCAGTCAGCAGCAGCAGCGGCGCCCACGTAAGAAGACCAAGCCACCTGCACTGACGAAGAAACACAAAAAGAAGAGAAGACGAGGTCCGCGCAGACCGCAGAAGCCCATTCCTCCCGCTGTGCCACAGGGCAATTTGCTTATGCCCTCCCTGTCACTGCCCCCTCACCACACCCATGTCAGGTGCCTATTCTGCTTTCAAATGCATCACAGTCTTGCTTCACAAATGTTTTGTTGTTGAATTTCGAAATGTCATTATACATCACAAATACCAGTGTTGTAGTCAAGACCAGCTCATTCAAGTCCAAGTCCAGGTCAAGACCCAAGTAGGTTGAGTTCAAGTCAACATTGAGACCAGAAGAGGTTCTGAATGATTCAGACCATGTTAATCAGGGGTACCCAGTGCTGTTGCTGTTACTATACCTTCTTACATAGTTCAGTGCTGATTCTGATCAAAGACAACTGAACCAGCTAATTAAGATTTTCAGGAGCACTTGATAGTTACGGACAGGTGTGCTGGAACAGGGTAGGAACTGAACTCTGCAGGTAGGTAGATCTCCAGGAACAGGACAGGGCACCCCTGATTTACATGGTAAATGTTCAAAATTCTGTCACGACAGCACAGAGTGGATCATATGCACTAGTTTCCACAGTGTTGTAGTAGAGTCTGAGAGTTCAGTCTCTAGTCTAGGTGCTGAGTTCATGAGAAGGCCAAGACCATGTAATATTTTCTTGAGACCAAGTCCAGTTTCAAATACTAACAAAACTGACAAATACATGCTGTATTGCCAGTGTTGTCGCAAGGATACTGTAACAGCCAATTGAGTAGGACATCTACTGTCATGAAAGAGCAACAGTATCTTGATGAGGAAGTTAGTTAATGTAAGACAATCTGTCAGTATGTTAATAGCTAGCTACCTGAAATATAAGTCTTCCGGTTTAATGACAGACATGAAAGGAACTCAACTTCTTGAATACCGAGGTTTGTTATCACCACAGCAACAACGAAAGAGGATCTGTCCATTCATATTCATGTACTTCATAGGGTATGTTTCCGACTTTATTCAGCTTACATCAAGCTTGCATTCACTCTGCCTGTTACTCTAGCAGGAGCCCATCAACCCCTGAACTCAATGCAGATGAGCTTCCTGACGATATCACGAATGAAATGCCTGACATTCCCAATGATCTTGAGCTGAATCAGGAGGATTTCTCTGATGTACTGCCCAGACTACCTGATGATCTTCAGGATTTCGACCTTTTTGAGGGTGCGTTCACATCAGATTATATGACAACAAAATATCATAAAGACTCAAGGGTAGCCTCTTTTGACTTGGGCCAGTAGGCAATCATACAGACTAGCATTTGTCAATCACCACTCAAGTTTTCTTCATTAAATGTAAAAATCTACTTGTTGGTTGGTTTGCACTTTGTCTGAGTTGTCTTTGTGGATACAGGTAAGAATGGAGAGTTGTTGCCCACCACAGAGGAGGCTGAGGAGCTGGTCAGAGCCCTGCAGGCCATGGGGTCATATCCCGATTCCCTGGTGTGTTTGTCCTCAATGGGTGAACTGACCACAGCGGACGGGGTAGACCACCGAACCATGGCCGTGTTCTCGGGATCAGGGGTCACAGCGACTGGCATCGGAGACCTTCTGAACGGCCGAATGACTTCGGAGACTTTTCCCAGTCTAGACCTGGAGGGAAATCTCCTCCAAGCCCCGACAGACCATCATTTCCCAACGTCCCCTTCTCCCCAGCCAACCCAGAGCAGCGCCACCGCACCCACTACAAGTCCCAATGGTGGGTTAACAGAACGAACGTTTTCCCGAGCTCCCAAACCGGACTCATCTCCACCTGGCAGTCATTACAGCAGCGAGCATGTGCCATCGCCCTACAAGGATCACATCTCACCCCCACATGGTGCCTCTTATCAAACCGACCCGCCTCTCTTGCTGGAGGTGCCTTTGAGTGGAGCACCAGGCCCTCCACGCACCTCCTGGAATAACCTCCCTCTCTCGCTCACAGACCCGGCACAGTTCGGTAACCTCCTCTCTGCTGAAACTCACCTGCTCTCCACCGCTCTGTCCACCCCACCCTCCACGTCCCACTCCACAATCCTGCAGCCCACCGCTGCTCTCTCCGCTCTACCCCAACCGGGCCTGACCGGCCTCACCTCACCCTCATTCTCGCCCTCTTCACGGGACCTTCTCACCCCCACCCAACCTAAACTACAGCTCCCACAGTTTAGTGCAGCCTTCGGCCACCAACTGGCTTCTCACAGTGGGATCCCCAAAGACCTGCAGCCCAGCCATAGCTCGACAGCACCACCTACAGGCTTTACCATCACTAGTGCCACTGCTGCCACTCCCCCGTTCCCTCAGAGCAACTGAGTCTGGTTAGAGAGACCATCCCATCTCACATTTTAGAGGGATAGTTCACGATGGTTCTTTTTTTACTAGTCACTCTCATGACTTTTGTTTTGTCAAGAAAGAAGTTCTGAACGATGTTCACTTTCTGCTCTTTAAAAAGAAAATTATGCAGTGAACAAGTGTTGTCAAGCTCCAAAAAAGCACTGCACATGTGTATCACAATCGGTTATGAATTGCGAAGTGTTTTGTGTCATGTCTTGACAGCTGCAAGATTTTGAGTGAGTAAAGGCCTGTTCACACCAAGATAAATGTTCAGTAAACATTTTTACATTTAGAAAACTTGCTGACCAATAATTTGCACTTTTGATCACAAAAAGTATTTGCTATTACAATTACATAAAACTAAACAGACAATTTTGCTAAGCGACTGTGACTAGCAGAGGAAGAATCCAGAACCGGCTTTCCTGTCTCTGGTCACGTTTTTTTTGGTGTTAGTGAACACCATCACATATACAAAAATGAAAAACATGAAAAAAACGTTTGACTTCCTTTCTTCACGGTGACACGTGGATGTCAGAAATGGAAAGTTGCACAGTGTTGCCCTTGTGTACCGCTATACTTCTGTTTTTCAGTAAGTTCCACCTACTGTCACTGAGTGTATCAAATCTGTGTGAACAGGCCTTTAATGACTTAAATTCCAATCTGTTCCTAACACATAGCTATCAATATGTCTTCAGAAGACTTGGAATATAGTGCACAAATCCTATGGACCTCTTTTAAGGTGCTATCAGTCTCCATTCACTTTAGTTGCATGGAGAAGAGCAGTCTGGACATTGTTGGAAACATCTCCTTTTATGTTCTTCAGAAGAAAGTATGGGTTTAAGGGTTTATCTTTGGGTGAACTAACTCTTTAAGTCTCATAACCAACAGCCCTGTGTCTGACTGGCACAATAGATCAGCAGCAGATTTGAGTCTTTCTGTACACGGATCTCTGCTTGGTCTGTTAAAAGTGTTTATCCTCTGTTTGTTGTTGTAGTGACCCAAGAGTTATGTTCTGCCCACATTTGCCCCTTTTCCACCAAATGGTGCTAATGCAGGAGCCGGTGCTCAGTTGGGTGATCCGTGGAGCTGTCTCTTAGCCGACCCATTAATATTGACAGCCAAAACAATCTAACTGACAACATTACTACATTACTTGATCATGTGTCTTACAGTCTTAGTTTGTTCCAATTTAAATCACTTCCTTGCAGTCAGACAGGGACAGTAATGTTGCTGGAGAAGCTGTGCAGCATGATTAAAAATAGAAATGTCAACTGAGGTTGTGTGCAACATATTTTTACATTATAAAGGATAGGGCTGGGTTTTGACACAAATTTCACGATTCGATTCGATTCTCATTCACAAGCTTGCGATTCGATTCAATTCAATATCGATTATTTTGGATATATATCAGGTACAGTACATGCCTCATTATGCAGTAATTACTCTTGCTCTGATGGCTTCAGGTAGCCTTCCGTTAACTAAGCTAAACATGCTTAAATTAAACTGCCTAAAGCTAAACTGTGTTTATAGTGCTAATGGCCAATCCATCATGGATTTTTATTTATTTTTTATTTTTTTAAATAGGTATCAGTTCAGGCACGGTTTAGGCACCGGAACCGTTTTAAAAGTATCGATTTGGCACCGGTATCGGAAAAAAAAAAAAAAACGATACCCAACCCGATATTTAGCAAAATGCCCCTCTCTACAGTTTATTTTTCTAGCTGACTAATGAGTTTATGGCCACCGAATGTTTTTTTCTGAGGTAAATGTGACGTTACGTGACATTGTTTATAAGCAAGCGGCAAATCCTTTACATGAAAACGTACTTACAGTCTGTGAGTCAGAACAGCCGGCATTGTTGTCTACGGATTTAAGAATCGATATCGTTCCGTAAAAATGAGAATCGATTAATTATCAATATTTTTTTTACCCAGCCCTAATAAACGAGTCTTTTAACAACCAGTGGCTCTAATGTTACTAGTTCTTTGAGACCTGCGGGTTTAGGAGCTAAGGCACAAAACCACATTTTTTTTCAGTGGAAACATGCAAAATAGTGTCAGGCACCAGCACCGTGTCAGTAGACAAGGGGTGATGGTCTGTTGTACTAAGGCTAGTGAATCAAATTCTATCATATTACTTATTCCATTAGTAAGTATTCCTCAAATGGGAGTAGCAGGTTGTTGGTTGGCTTGTGTCCTGTAGAGTCCTTGTGATAGGAACCTGCTGGTGTGTGTTGGCTGGAGAAAGAGCAGGGCAAGTCTCTTGTTTATACTTGGTATTGGCATCAGTCTTGGGTAATCTGAGGAATTATCGTTAATGTGCATTTCCTCTGAACTTATCGCCACTTATGATTGGTTTTTGTCGAGGGGAGGTACTGTGATTTCATGAGTGGGTCATCAGTGTGTTTCTGCATGTTGATGAAGCACAAATTGGCACTAAAATTTGAATGTGAACTTGAATGTTGATACAAAAAATAATGAAGAATTTATGTAAGATCTTGTGCTTTATTTTTTGAGCAACCTTTCACTCACATGAGATTGTAGCAATTAGTAAAAGACAGTAATCCAGTCAATTCCTGATTGACAAAATAAAGTCCTGCCCTACATTTTTTTTTCTCATTCAAGAAGCTGTCACTCTGATATACGTCACAATAGAGAAGAAAATCTGATTGCAATAAGGTCAAATTTATAGTCATTTCTAGCATGCAAAATTTCAGCCCATTGATTAGCTAAGCATTACATGAGAAGGTGGACAAGGATGCATTAGTGTAATGTGATTTGGCATCTCTGAAAGTGTGATCGGATCACCCAAGATGAATACCAAGTATAAAAACTGACCATCAATGAGCACACTAACACTGTCATGGTGACATTAAAGTTGTACAACTTCCTGCCTGATTTCAGACAGTAGCCCAAAATGAACTCCAGCACAGCCAACAACACTCCTATCATTCAGCAGTCTGTCTCTATGTAACAGAACCAGTCTAAGCTTGATGTGGTCTCGAGAGAATCCACCATACGACTTGTAATCAGGACACAAATCAGTATGATTCATTCTTGGGATTTTGCACACGCTCAGTGGACCAAGCCTGGACTGCTCACATCACAAGGCTAATTAAAGCAATAATCTCCTCAGCAGAGTCTCTCGTGCCAATCTTCAGGCGTGGCTCACTCCCAGCAGCCTCTGCTCTCAATGACAAACAGCTGGATCGCATTCTCCTTATCGATTTCATTTATGGCTTAACTGTTGATTAACAGCAAAGATTTCAACCTAGACTTTGCTGATCTTGTAGAAACACTGTCGTTCAGCGAAGAGTAAACACAACAATGACACTTTGAGGTAATATTTTGCCAAATATATGGGTTAAAATGTTTGTTCTTCTTCATGGTGCTTAATCAGTTTAGGACCTTGTTTGGTCTTTCTAATACAAGAGCCCTTGGTGGCAAGGTTTCAGAGTGCAGTAGCGCTGGCAGATGGAAAGGAATGGGTGGCGGGAGAGTTGATGTCAACTGAAACGACTCTGCATTTGTTTTGCGGATATTTGGTGCAATTTCTATGGAGAATGGTTTGTGCAACCTGATGGTTCTTCTCCAGACTTCCACAGAAGTATCAGGTTCAAACTCAGTCAGCCTTACGCCACGTGGGACCAATGTTCCCTGCAGATTTCATTTTCTCTTTTGAAGATATAACCGTAAAACCAAGGGTTTTGGTAGATTTTAGACACTGAATGATTATCTCATATATTGTTAAGTATTAAATATATTTCTAGAATAGGAACCTCTAGATTGGGTTTTATTGGTTGAATTGAGTGGCGAAAGATAAATATGAGATTTAAAAAAAGAAAATTGCCATTTGCAACGTACTTGGTGGAGCTGAAGCATTTAGTGGCATAATGTTTGTTAGTTTTAATGGCTATCAAAATTCTCGTGATTAATCATTTTTATTGATTGATGTTGTGTATCTGTGTCATTTATTTGGATGAAATACTGTGATCATGTGCAACAGTATTTTTGATAGCTATTAAAAAACTGTCGCTGAAAGACATTAAACCACAACCTTACGCACACTTATTCTGATCCAATCTCACTAATCAAAAAAGACAAAATAATGGGTCTCATTCATGAAAAACCTGGAGAATGAAAATGAAAATCATTTGAGAATCCATTCTTATGTAAATTATTACATTGAATTACTTCTAAAATCCAGTGAGAGTTTACGTTATAATGGTTTAGGAAATGATTCAGTTCATTCTTACATAAACTGTTGCATTGAACGGTTACGTAAGTTGTCTCACACAATTGAATGATTTGTAAACCCGTTGCACTGAATTGGTTTAAAACCACTCGGATGATTGAGTTTGAATTATTCATAGAACCATTCTTGTATAAGTTGTGACATTGTATCGAATGCAACAGTTTACGTGAAAATGGTTTTATGATGATTTACACACATTCGTTCTGCTGGTGTTTGCATGAAAAAGATCTTTTGTGTGCCAGAATGATCACAGACATACTGGAGCCATTTGGTCATTACTTAATTTAGAGGCATCCTTAAGTGAATCTCAAGATTTGTCTGTAGTGACAAAACATTGTTTGTTTTCTTGGTCATCACCCTTAAACTTCCTGTGGTCAGCTGCACTTTCACCTGCACTGTGTTCCACAGGTTCTAAATGACTTTTCAGCCATTCGTGCAAAAGCCTGATACTTGTGAACAAGAATCGTCTTTGTTTATTCTCCCCATCAATGTTCATCAGTTGTGGCAGATGCCTTTTTGTTTCTCTAATGAGCTGAAATGCTGTGTGCAGTCCAAGTTGTTACTGTGTTACTACTGTGTGTCCTGTGCGAATGACAGCAGGTCCGCTGCACAGAGAAACCCCCTGACAAAAGTCGCTTGCACTCTGCGTTAAGATGGCTGACTGATTCTTATACTCACTGAATGTACTGTAGAACTGTTTTTAAAACTCATAGGATAATCTAGTCACCTTTTGTTTTCGGTCTTTAATTTGTCTAAGGTATTTTTTTTGTATACAAAAGTTTACATTTTTATGTATATTTTTCTTGTGTAAAAATTATGTAATATGTGTATAAACATTGTATGTAATATCTGTATATAGAGTGACAAATTTCGATCTTGTTTTTGGATGTAAGAATTAAAATTGTGTGAATTTGTTGGATTGTTACAGTTGTTTAGATCGGTATAACTGTTACACATTAATTTGCCTTATGGACAAGCTGGCTTTGAGCAGCAGGTTAAAAGACACAGGTGCTTCCTGAAAAGGGGGAGTTGTACATTAGTCTGACTTGAACTTTAGCACAGATTTATAGTCCTGTAAACCCATACGCTCTTCTGTTACATAACACATTAAAATGCTGTTATCATCCAGGTGGAAACAGAAGTGCTTGTAACAGGATCATTGGAGATACAGGAAGGACAACAAAAATAGTTTACAGCTAAATGAAGCATATAATGGATTTTACACACAGTGGGATTGAGGGACCATGTAAAGCTCAAGTGTGTTATTTTTTTATGTTGAAACACTTCTGTTCTGGCTAATACAGAATCAACTGTAAGTCAATTGTAGGCTATCGGCAACATTGTCTCAACCAATGGCATCAGTTTGGGACTATCTGTTTGCAAAACCTATATTTTTGCAATTCTGTTTACACACTTCAGCTTTAAAATTCCATTTGTTTGTTGTACAATAATTCATATGAATGAGTTAAATGTTCCTATAGAAAAAAGAAAAACATGAGCATGTTAGCCAGTTGCTAAGATAATTATACAATAAGATTGTTGATTTTATAGAAAATTGATTAAAAGAAAAGAAACACTAAGCCAAGACCAGCCACGGCATAGAAATAAGCTTAGTACAGGTACTGAACAAAAAAATAAAAGACATTTGAAAGGAATACGAATGTTAAGGGCTAAAAAAAAAATAAAAAAAGCACAAAATGTTTGTAATAGTATAATCTTTTTTTAAACTAAGAGCAATGCTAGCTGATACACACGGACCCCTTGAGGTCAAAATTTGTAGCTTTTCATTCATGTCTCTAAGCTTTGAGGCATCTATAGGCTAAGTTGAAAATAATTTTTAACATATAAATAAAATTAAAATCTTTTTCTTTTTCTTCCAGGAATTACTGGAAAACTTTAAGTTATCAAATGGTTCCTTAAATTCAGTTCACTTATGTACAGACAGCAAGCACATGAGATTGTAAATGACAATTACAATCCCACCTTAATAAAACGAAAGAAAATACATAATACAGACACAGAGAAAGAGTCTTCATGCAGAAGCACAGAGTCAGTCA